CAAATTTAATTAAACAACTACTCGGCTCGATATCGGAAATCGGACACATCTGATTCGACTGCCAAGGTAAAGGACGAGATGGGGAATACAAAGGAGATATGACAGAAAAATAAACCCTAAAATGTCGAGTACACTTTCCCACGCGAAATTCTATGATCCAAGTTACAAAAGTCTCAAATTTAATTAAACAACTACTCGGCTCGATATCGGAAATCGGACACATCTGATTCGACTGCCAAGGTAAAGGACGAGATGGGGAATACAAAAGAGATATGACAGAAAAATAAGCCCTAAAATGTCGAGTACACTTTCCCATACAAAATTCTATGATCCAAATTACAAAAGTCTCATTTAATTAAACAACTCGAATGTTTCACCCTCCGTCTTTGCAACGCGAGCCCGCTCGGCTCGATATCGGAAATCGGACATATCCGTGAACACCGGCGAGATAAAGGACGAGAAAGAGGACGAGGCTCCGGAGTGGGTGGAGGATGAAGAGATCGCCGGCACTCGAGCACTCAAACAAGATGTTAACGTCCAATCGAGTTACTCGCTTTCGTTCGATCCCTCGCCTCGTTCTTGTCCGGCGTGTCCCGATCTCGCGGGATCTCCGTCGTCCCTCGGAAGAGGAGCGAAGAATGGAAGAGGAAGAGGAAGAGGGAGAGAGGGTAAGAGCCCGAAAGAAAAGGTGGACGACACGAGAGATGCAGAAGTGGGCGACGTAGGAGACGAAAGAAGGGCCAGGGCGAGGCGGCCAGAGAGAGAGAGACGCCGATATGGGGATATCGAGAGGAGGAAGAGAGAGACGAGATAAGAACCGGCAACCAGTTTGGCGGCGATAAAAGTGCGGTTTCGCGAGGTGCGCGTTCGCCGCGTTGAAATTTCAAGATCCCTGCCAATGATAAGTTTATTAATATGCGATTTACGCCGGATACGCACTACCGGCAATAACTCGTCCGATCGCGAGTCACCTGAGTGGTTTCGCGAGGGGATCCTCTTCTCTGATCTTTATGAACTCCATTTCGCCGACAGGGAACGGCTACCGGTGGCCACGTCCCGAGGGATGCGAATGCCATGCCGCTGTTTCTTTTTTTTTGCCCCGCCGAAGGCACTTTGATTGTACCATTAAGGGGATATGAAAGTGGCATCCGAGGGGTCGATCGTTTATGAAACATTTCTTCCTTTCTTTCTTTTTTTTTTCCCCACTATCTTCCGCTAATATGGAGGTCTTGAGGAAGATCTTGACACCTGTGGGGTATCAATTATGTTGGCTTGAAACCCAAAAGTTGTTTGGAATTTTTTTTATTTTTATAACGGAAGAAATAATAAATTCATGGATATCAAGAGCTGGTTCGCGGCCTTCGTATTCATGTGAGGAATTTTCAAACGATTTGGTACACCTGACTTGATAAAAGGTTTTATAGACGAGACCTCACGGACGCCGCTTTCATATCACCTTAAGTGTTTACGGAACATTTTATACAGAAATTATTCTAGATTTTTTTTCGACTTTTCCTACAGAACATTTTTTCTATGTAAATTCGGAACTTGGAACCGAGCGCGTTTGTTTTTAATGTCTATGCAAAGGAAAAGCAAGGAGCAAAGCTATTAACAATTAAAACGAACTGGACCCTTTTATTGTTACATTCCACGGAAGTTCCGGAAAACCTTTATTTTATTTTATGGGATTTGTATATTCTCCCCGATAGTTCTTAACGATGGTAGACTTTGTCGATAGGAAAAACGTTTTAGATAATAAATATATACAAAGCGCTTCATCCTTAGGGTTACGACGATAAAAATCCTTAGATTTTTACAATTATCATTTGCCTAGGGAAAACTTATTGTAACGTCTCAGAAAAAAAAAAAACATCGTTAATGTTGCAGGAAACGGTACTGTTCAAATTTTTATCAATTACATAACATTCTGTCGCTTGTAATATTCTGTCTTCATTATTTTACAGTCATGAACACGTAGATGGGAGATGTGTAATTCTTATTTTCTTTCAGGCCAATTGTTAGTAATTTTCGGTAATTTGAACATATTGTTGCAAACAGGACTTTAATATTTGGTTCATACGCTGATCTGAATACAGCGACCGAAAATAGTTGTTGTGTTTTTTCTTCGTTTTCTTGGACGCACGGCTAAATAGTTCGGATTCCAAAACTGTTTCCAACGTAAAGCTAAACTGGTCGACCAGCTGTTTTAGGAATCCATCCTCCTATCTTTTCCCCGGCATTCTTGAGCTTTTTCTTGTTTTATCTACGTCGATTAAAGGCGACAAATTGCAGTGAGCTATGTCGACGCTTGTCTAAACAACGAAAATGGATCGCTCTGGAAGAAAATGAAAAAATTACTAAATTTGAATGAATTCACTTACATTCATCATTCAAGGTTTTTACAAAACTCAGTATACTCTTATTTGTTAAATTTACAACACTGCTATTTATTAAACTTAATTACTCAAATTTATCCTGGCTAAATTGTTGAATTCGAATAAAGCGTTCCGTCATAATCGTCAAGAGAATAAAACAATTTCATCGCGTTTTTGGGAACAAATTTTGGGATCGAAACAACGAAAATAGATCGCTCTGGGAAAAAATGAAAAAATGATTAAAACCGAATGAATACACTTACATTCATCATTTAAGGTTTTTAATAAACTCGGTATACTCTTATTTGTTAAATTTACAACACTGCTATTTATTAAACTTATTTACTCAAATTTATCCTGGCTAAATTGTTGAATTCGAATAAAGCGTTCGGTCGTAATCGTCAAGAGAATATGAAAATTCCCTCGCGTTTTTGGGAAAATAAAATAATTCCCTCTATGCACCGAAAATGTGTACTTAATGATACTTAATGTTCTCATTTATTCGAGATATTTTTCTTATCAATATTATTTATTCGAATGCAGTCTCTAAACGCGAATTACAACTGGGAAAATTCCTTCACGTACATCTGAGATGGATTGATACATCGATCACCTGTATTCGGTCGTACAATAAATATTGATACTCTTTCGGATATTACCGAAATTTGTTTGGAATTCCTGAGGGATTGTAGTTTACGACCACGTGACAGAACTGCATAACCGTTTCTCGAGTGTCGCCCAAGTTAAATGAAAAACAATGATGGCACTTGTCCAAAGAAGTCACTCACACTTGCTGCATCCAAAGATAGTTTGTTCATCCGATCCAAGATTCGGTGCCAAAGGGTGATAATGCACCTACGTACCTACTCTCTGTGAACGGTACAAATGGCAGTGTTGATAAAAATCGTGAATTCGTGATAAAAAAAAATAATGGTCTCATATCAGAGCCTTCAATATTTGTATTGTGTTGTATATTAATCGAAATATGAGAACTCAACGCCATTTCGGTACTGGTCTGAACTAACTTAACAAATTTTTGTTGAAAAATTGAAATTTTTAATGTGTCAGGACTATTCTTAGATGATCACGAGTCATGCGTCAAAGTTTCGGACAGTTTGCTCCAGTAGACTTGAAAAAAGGTGTTTTATTCGAATGGACTGATTTGAGGGGGGTTTTATTTCACCTTAACGACTCGACCCGCGCATGCGCGTGCACCCATGTGCATCCGCGTGCACTCGTATGCAGCCGTGGGCACGCGCGTCGGTTGTTGCACGCGAGTGCGGGTGGAGGGGCGCAAAAGGACGGCACCTTCGAGGGGTGTAGCCCGCCCACGCATTGGACATGATGCCTCGGAAATCGCGTGTACTTGGGAATTTAATTGCAACTATAAACATGCGCCGGTATAGTGCGTTAAAATACGAGCTTTCGCTAGAGCCCCCACGAGTCCTGATTGCAACGACGAGGGTGTCCTCTCTCTCTTCTTGCTTCGCTGCTCTTCGAGATGAAGACGTCTCTTCCTCTTAACCTAACCTAGACATAAAACGCCTTTGTAAATTTTTTAAATTGTTCAGCGGCCTTAACCGAGCAAAAAGTTACTCCTTTCTTTCTCTTTCCGGGCGATATTAATTGCTTGCGGCAATTTAAGTTATTCCGAAGGAACTTCTCGGCAACACCGAAATTGAATTGGTAGGCATCGTTGTTGTTCGAGGGGCTATTCTCTCGAAAATCAGTGAAAACTATTTTTTTTTTCTTTGCCTTTGATTTCATACGATAACCAATGATCTTTGATTTCATATGATAACCAATGATCTTTGATTTCATATGATAAACAATATGATTCGGTAACAAGTGACGTTCGGCCTTAAAACTGTGACAACGTTTCGATGATTTCCAACGATTTCCAGTGATTTCTCCTCGCAGTTTCTAGCTGATTTCCATGTAATTTTGTGCATTAAAAATGCATGATTTCCTGAGTGAATAAGACCTCTGAAACGCTGCAATTGTTTATCAGTCGTGTATGAGATAAGTTTATCTGTACACGTGCGGAAAAATATTGCGACGTTGCATGTACTGAACTTTGTTTCATATTTAAGTATTTTTGGCTCGTCATTGTGTCCTGCAGATATGAGTTCCAAATGAGGACTCATACGCAACACCCTCATTAGTCATTTGTCATATTTGACGAGGGAAATTTCATGCAAATTTCGCATCACTTTGTCTATCTGGGATAACTCATAGATAGGGCGCCTTCATAATCATTAACATCATCGAGGTAACCGTTTCGACTCTGGTCTCCCTGTATCCCTCCTACCCCTTCTCCCGTCATTTTTGCATGTACTTAACTTTGTTTCATATTTAAGTAGTTTCGGTTCGGCATTGTGTCCTGCAGATATGAGTTCCGAACGAGGCCTCATAAGCAACACCCTCGTGACTCATTTCATGATCTTTGGCGCGACAAATTTCATGCAAATTTTTGCATCGCTTTGTCTATCTGGGATTTCTATAGTACAAGCAAAATTTCATTATCAATGCCATTCTTTGCCAAAAGTACAAATGCCATTTCTTTTTCTGATGTTTTCAACGTTACTCCTAGTTCTAAACACCCCGGTTACCGTTTTGTTGCAGAGAGGTGTGCGTGGACGAGGGCCAGCAGCTATCCCTGGCGCACGGCTGCCAGTTCTACGAGGTGAGCGCAGCGGAGAGTCCCGCGGGAGCCGCCCTGGCTTTCCAGGCGCTCCTGCGGGAGGCGCGCTCGGTCCAGCTCCTGCGCGCCCTGCCGATCCGCCGGAAGCTGGGGGTCCACTCCGTCTCCAGGGTCCTGGGCACCATCTTCGGCAAGAACACCACCAAGGACCGGAAAAAAAGGCCCTCGCTCAGCATATGACGCCTCCTCTGCGCGCTCCTCCTCGGGGGTCGTGACGATCCCGGCAACAGGACCGACATCGTGGTCCTGCGCAGCAACGTGCACTCCGATCGCTGATCGCCGATCGGTCCGACACGAGGATCACCCCGAAGAGGAGCGCGCCGAAGAGGACCCGACCGGCCAGATTCGGCAGGACCCTCTTCGACCCCGAACCCTCCAGGTTGGACCACTTCCTGGCTGGCTGGAACCCACAACCGGCGCTCCAGGGGTGTCAGAGTGCGTCACTGGTGAACGGAACTAATCTCTCGCTTGGGGAGAAACGAACGCTTTCCCTTTAGCGCCGAACTACTCGAGTAGCTCGATGGGACTGTCATCTCGCGCCACTTCGCGTTGACATTCCACGATGGACCAACGTCATCATCTCGAGGTGGAACTTCGAACCCCTCGTGGCACTTCGATGGTCGAAGTGGTCGCGCGATTCCGATGTATATACGGTTGACGAGTTTGGCGAGGAGTTGGCCATTCGGCCGATTCGCTGGATGAAGATGATGGTCGTCCTCGAAGGACTCATCGCTGATCGTTAAGGGACTCCGTGATCCCTCGATGTTGCGAATCTATACCGCTTCTCTGATTCTCTGCACGATAGCGGCGGTGCCATCGAAATGGGATTTCTTGGGAGAGTCTTTTCAAAACCCATGAACAGGGTGATGTGGTGGGCACGAGGGTCTTCTCTGCTGGAGCGATGGGGGTTGCCAGTAGACGATGAGAAGGCATTCGGGTTCATGAGTGTACCGGACATTCTGGAGGATGTAACTACATCTTGTTTGTCACCAGGAGGAACCCTAATCCCTTTTGAGAAATGCGTATCGAAGGATCCAAGTGAATCCTGATGGTACAAAACACATCCTTGTCCAAAGTCTCAGGGTGGGCGATTCCTTTTTCACTGCTCAGTATTTCCGAAAATGTTCCTGGGAAGGACCTAAACGCATTCAAATTCAAAATCGTAGCACATTTTTGGATGGGAAGGCATCCAATGAGTGTACCGAATATGTTAGAGAATGGAACTATATCCTATTCGTCACCAGGAGGGACACCAATCCCTTTTGAGAAATGCGTCTCGAAAGATCCAAGTGAGTCCTGATGATACAAAACACATCCTTGTCCAAAGTCCCAGGATGGACGATTCCTTTTTCACTCCTCAGTATTTCCGAAAATGTTCCTGGGAAGGATCTAAACGCATTCAAATTCAAAACCGTAGCCCATTTTTTACCGGACTCTCTGGATGAAACGCAAACATAACTTTAAACCAATCCTGACCTCACCTTTATTGGAAGCTTTCCACATTCCCTACACAATGTTTGACTCACAAATACCAGCTTTATAAATTATGACTCTCTCGGAATTCTCCTCGTGGGTGCAAATTTCGCGTTGGTGGTGAATGGGGCGTTTCTTTAGATTCGTCCTGGTGATGGTCCAGGATCTTTGTACAGATCCGAGAGATCCCCAGACGTTGGCATCGCCGCAGCTAAGAGGGTCGCGCTGCCAGTCCTTCGAGAAAGAGACTTTTGACAGTTGTCAAATGACGGAATTACGAAGATGCTCCTAATATTGAGCCGCAGCTGATCGATCCGCTACAATGACTGGCCTCTCGTGTGCAATTACACTGTTAAAAATATCCTTTCGAAATACAATATACAAGTAGTAGACATTTCCTCAACGCACAATATTTCGAAATTTCGTACACTGAGAAAAAGTATTATTTAACCGAAACAAATATATATATCGTTGCCTGAATCATATATAATTGCAAGAAACAATTATTTTGTCGAGAAGAAAAATCATATTGTTGATTCAAACGAATTTTGTTTACTCTTCCTGACATTCCATTTGACGTATTCTGTTGTAGCAACGCATATTTCTTTCAGTCAAGTACCTATTTTTTCTCAGGGTATATACAATCGTTTTTGGAATTTTAGCATCTGAGCATACTAATTTCAAAAGACACGTATACCAAATTTCGAAATCTCTTGTAAACTAATTTTCAATCACATCTATAAGAATTAACAGGCAATTTTGAAGAAAGGTATACATACTAGTGTGACTGTCATAAGACATGTATACAAAAACTCGGATACTTTCGTGTTCTAATTTTCTACCAATTACCCGTAAACAATTACAAACATTTCGAGATAAAAGAAATTGTTGATGTATTAACAGTTGCCTCAGTTAACTATTTTCTTCAAAATTTTCAATGCCGCGGCAGAAGCGCTCACCTAGAAATGGCGTTCCTTCAATTATTATTTATCCTTCTAATATTTCTTCTATTACTTCTGGCCTGTTCGAAAGGGTTCGAGATATCAAATGATTTTTAACAGTGTGGGACTTGGTGGGATCATTTTCTTACGTGCAAAGTGATTCCTCCAGGAGGCCTCGGAGGGAACCGCGAGGAGTCTCGCGTGCAGACTTCTCCGTTTATTCGTATCGTACAAGCCAAATATGAAAGATAGCTATGAGGTGTATTTAAGACTTACGCGTCGTCTTATACGTACCGTTGGGTCATACAGGGCTGCGTGTCAAGTGGGTTATGCGTGCGTGGGACTTATGGTGGGACTCTGGACGTGTACCTTGCGAAAAGTCCTGGTCCGAGATCTCGACGACGCACGCGAAGAATTCGATTTCGCTCGTATTAGCAAACCACGTCTTGCACCCAGAGTAAAAAAGTCACTTTTCAGGAAAACCAATATTAATTCCTTGAAAAAAAAAAAAAAAATAATGAAAATCATTAGATCGTGCCATTTGAGCTGATTTAAGTCATGATTGAAATCACCGATTTCAATCAACTGACTAATTTTTTTTTTTATATTTAATGCACTGATTTAGTTGCTTTTTGAGTGCCTGCTCTGTGTATTTCTAATAATTAAATGTACATGCCTGTGTAAAGATTAATTTTTTTTATCAACAATTTTACGGATGAGACAACGCACAAAAAATTAAAATTGATCTGACTAATTTCTTTTTTATATTTAATGTACTGATTTAGTTGTTTTTTGAGTGCCTGCTCTGTGTATTTCTAATAATTAAATGTACATTCCTGTGTAAAGATTTTTTTTTTATCAACAATTCTACGGATGAGAAAACGCACAAAAAATGAAAATTATCGGATCGTCCCTCGTACACTCTCGAATTGAGGATACAAATTATGAGAATTTTTTAGTTTTATTGATTTAACCTTTTGAAAACGGAGAGTTTATTTAAATGATTAAGGTATTTAAAGAAAATTCAGATGTTATCGTGATTTTTAAAGAGTCCGCAACTTTTGTGATCAGTGCTGTACAGTGCTAAAGTTATTTATAAAATTCATACACTTTAAATATATAAGATTGTAGTAAGATGATACATTTCATGACTTAAAAAGTGGATTAGTATACACTTATCGTGAATTTCTAAATAAATTTACAGTTGTACGGTGTCACGTTGCAACTTCATGAAATTGTGGAGGAAAGTGACGACAGTAATGAGCTAAATTTGCAACAAATGCAATGAAGTTTATTTGAAAATGCCAGAAAATTTACAGTATTTTTTTTCAACAGTTTATATACATGACGTCCTTTACGCAACACCGTTTTCACTTGATATTGATTTGCCATCATTTCGGTTGCAACGCTGATGATTCCTACAAAATGAATTTCACCGGGACCAAGAAATTTCTTTAGGAAGAAACATTTAAATTGTTGCGAATAATTAATTTTTGTTTATTCTAGAATGTTACTTTTTTACTCCGTGCAAGAGCAAACAACGACTCGTGATTTAATAATGTCGGGATACTTTTTCGAAAAGCGTCATCTTAATGATGTTTGCTCCCGTTAATAGGATTCACACGATTCCGTGCGTGGGTAATAGTCGATGCGAGCGTTACTTTATGGTTCGCAGATATCGTGTACATAGAACTAGAAGATACGCGACACAGGGTCGGATGAGAATTTGCGATGATCTGAAAATCGAGTCCCGGTACTTATCCAAATGACTAGTTTTATCGTAGGTCTGGAATGCGGAACATTTTTGAGGAAGATTGTGGAGATTCGAGGGTCCGACAGGTAGTTGCTTATCAAGTCCTACAGATCATACATAAGATTTAATAAGAGTATAAGCGTGAAAACAGAAATCAAAGATCTAAACCGAATATAATGAGTCAAACATTCGATTGGGTTCGGACGATTGTCTAATATTCACGTCTTATGTCCTTACAGAGTCTAATGTGTAATGGTCTCAATTTCCGTCTGAACGTATGGGCGATATTCCTACGTCCATGTTACGGGACTATCGACCTTAAATGCTTTCACAGTTTCCTCGGCCAGAACTAACCAATCAAATTACCCTTACACCGAGATTTAAAATTTTCTGCAGTTTGATTAATCAGCCCTTGCTGTTATACTTCATGCCGGTTGCACCAACACTCGAGTTAAAATCCTTAATCAAGAATTCCCTACTTAGCGCCTGATCAGAGAAGAATTAATCCCCTGATTTCAGGTGGTTAGTTAACAACGGATCTTAATCTCCGGTTAGCTTAATCGGTGCAATGCGTTTCATTGCTCCGAGATTAACTAATTATGGTTGAGTATTTTCACTCTAATCACAGTTGGTGCAACTGAGGATTACTGTTACTCGGGGAATCTGTGAAGGCCTTAGCCTTCATCTCAACGTAAAGGCGATATTCCCATGCCCTTGTCATGGGATTATCGACCTAAAGTCTGGCCCACGCATTATGCCTTACCTCCGACGTCCAGAAAGAAAAGGAAGCGCAAAATCTACGTCGTGGACTAGGTTTTTCGGAAAATCGGATCAAACTAGAGTGCATTCTCGAAGTTCCAGTGGGGTCAGGTTAAGGACCCACCAACACCAGTAACCCGAAAATCAAAAAGAACTCTCAAAGACTCGGTTACCACGAGACCGCGAGATATATACCAGGATCTCTCGGATAAACTTTCGGTCGAGGGGCTCACTCGAAAATCGGGGAAAACGATTGCCGTCTTTAACCCTTTGGCTGCTAACAGCGCCTAAAGGCGTCCAACATTTGGTCCAGTATTGCGTGCACGCTTTCATGAATTTCGCCCATATGTCGAAAGAGCTCCGCAGGATTAAGAACCGATTGCCTTTTGATTTCATATGGTAAACAATGCGATTTCGTAACAAGGGACGTTCGGCCTTAAAAATTGTGGTGTGTTAGATAATTCCCAACGACTTCCAGCTGATGTCCACGTGATTTAAATCGTTGAAATCCATGATTTTCTGAGTGAATACCCCCCCTCGGTCCACCCACCCCAGACATTTAGGCTGTGAAACGTGTCGCGAATCCTCCGAGAGAACATGTTCATCTGAAACGCGAAAGGCTAGCTCGAAAATCAGTCCAGACGCGAGGATGACCGTACGCGCAGAAAAAAAATGCAGTCCATTGTTTAAGGTTCATTTAACTGCATTTGGGTCGTTTCGAAAAACGTTTCGGTTGAGCGAACTGAATTTTAATTGACCATACTTGGTTGTTTCGATCGATTTCAATAATATCGCTTTGCTAATTCCCGGAAACATTTCAGGGAATAAACCGACAAATCTCGGTTAACCCTTAAATGGAAATTGGGTTATCTTGACCCAGCGTCATCAGATTATAAATGTATAGAAAAAATATATATATTTTTTTATTATTATTATTTCACGCATTCACGTTCACATTTTTCTTTCGTTTCAATTGTCATTAATACGAGAGAATATGGAAAAGTACCAGATTGCATATGCTAATTTTGGATTTATGGTGTGATGACATTGGGTAACGATGCCTCAATTTCGATTTAAGAGTTACGTGCTGTAAATTACTTTAATGTCTTATCAGTCATAATGTTTGATGTGGTCAGTGATCAACGAAAAGTTGTTAAAGGATTTTGTCATGCAAAGTAAATGTTTGGTTGTCTGTATAATAACTACATGGTACGGTTAAAGAAGCAGAAATTGTTTCGATTGCCCCAAGTATTTTTCTGCGTGTAGGGCGCGTTATCGCGCGCTCCTTATCAGAGACTCGCCCTGGCCGCCGAGAAGGGCGGAATCTCGCACCGGGTCCCTCCCCTCGGAAGGGGAGAAGCTTCGTAAAAAATCGTATGTTCCTAAAAAATAGTGTAATGCTAAAGTCGTATCTATTGTATGAACCGTGTAAACGTAAGGACGTTATCACGCGATAAGCGCGCGTTGTCTCGACTCGCAGTTGGATCTCGACATGGATCTAGAAATAAAAGGATGGAGCATAAAGTTAAACTTCAAACCAGCGTACTTAAGCTTGAGATATAAAGGAAAGGATATAGCAGCCATCTTTTGTTATTACTCACAATTGCACACACGAGGTCTCGTATTTATGAACAACGGCAACCAAAGTGTACACCGATAAAAACATGTACAATAATGTATACACTCGTAGTAAAATGATTAATTTGATAACAGAAACGCGAATACGTTTATTTGCAATTTCCGAATAAAATTATAATTTTCCAACGTTACGTCACAATTTTGTGAAATTTTTTGAAACTAGTGTTCACTCGTCGATTAAATTTGTAACGCACGTTTATAAGATATTTAAATAGAGTGTTATATAAAGTTATGATGTTTTTAACAGGATGTATGTGCCGGATAATGGGATAAATAACACATGTACAACGTCTTTTATGAAGTACGGTAAAATGTGTGCTATAAGGTATTAAGATTAAGAAATTGTATTGTTCTTAAAGCCGCTCAAATTA